GACTACAAGCGCCCACCGCCACGCCCAGCTAATTTTTGTTTTCATAGTATAGACGGTTTCACTGTGTTGGTCAGGCTGCTCTTGATCTGCTGACTGCGCTCAAACTGCCTGACCTCAGGTGATCCACCCACCTCGGCCTCCCAAAGTGCTGGGATTACAGGCGTGAGCCACCACACCAAGCTTTCTCCTTTTCTCTTTTCTTTTCTTTTCTTTTCTTTTCTTTCTTTCCTCTTCCTCTTCTTCTTCCTCTTCCCTGTCTCGTCTCGTCTCTTCTCTTTTCTTCTCTTCTCTTCTTTTTTCCTTTTCTTTTTCTCTTTTCTTTTTTTAGTTGAGACAGGGTCTCCGCTGGAGTACAGTAACATCATGGCTAACTGCAACCTTGAATTCCTAGACTCCAGTCATTCTCCCACCTCAGCCTCCCAAGTAGCTAGGACTGTACACCTGCATTACCAAGCCCAGCTAATGTTTACATTTTTTTATAGAGAGAGTGTCTTACTATGTTCATAGGCTGGTCTAGAATTCCTGGCTTCAAGCAATCCTCCCACCTCAGCATCCCAAAGCACTGGGATTACAGGCATGAGCCACTGCACCCAGCCTTGGTTCATATATTTTTTTAAAATTGTGGTTAAAAAACACGTAACACAAAATTTACTGTCTTACTCATTTTTCAGTGTACGGTCTAGTGGCATTAAGGGCATTCACGTTATTGTGCAGCCGTGACCATAGTCCATCTTTAGAATTGTTTTCATCTTGCAGAGCTGAAACTCTGTACCCATTAAACGATGACTACCCACTGCTCCTGCCCCCCAGCACTGGCAACTGCTGCTCTGCTTTCTGTCTCTGTGAATCTGACTACTCTAGGGTACCTCATATAAGTGGAATCATACCGTATGTGTCCGTTTGGGATTGTTTCACTTTGCATAATGTCCTCAGATTTCATCCGTGTTGTAGCATGTGTCAGAATTTCCTTTCTTTTTTGAAATTTATTTTTATTTATTTATTTATTTATGCTCTCTCACCCAGCCTGGAGTGCATTCATGGCTCACTGCAGCTTTGAACTCCTGGGCTCAAGTAATCTGTCCTTAACCTGTCAGGTAGCTGGGACTATAGGCGTGTGCCACCATAACCAGCTAATTTATTTACTTACTTGTTTATTTTTTGTAGAGACCGGGTCTCACTGTGTTGTCTAGGCTTGTCTTGAACTCCTGGGCTCAAGCCATCCTCCTGCCTTGGCCCCCGAAAATGTTGGGATTATAGGCATGAGCCATTGTGCCCAGCCCCTCTTCCTGTTTTAGGCTGCATGATATTTGCATTGTATGTATAGACCACATTTTGTTTATCTGTTCATCTGTTGACGGACACTTGGGTTGCTTCCATCTTTTGGCTGTTGTTAATAGTGCTGCTATGAACGTAGGTGTACAGGTATCTATTCAAATCCTTGCTTTCA